TGTCTACCATTGTCGACGTTGCCATGAATCCGCGCCCGCCCAAGTTGCCGACTTGCACCCAAGTGCCCGCCTGGATGTGCCGAGTGGTCAGCACCACCGCGGCCGCGTCGGTCGCGCCAAACTGGTTGGCCGCTGCGCGCGCGCATGCGCTAGGTGGCGCGGCCGCAGAGATGCACCAGCCAGCGCCGAACATTCATCGCAATCGCCGCCGCACAAGTTGCAAACCAAGTTGCGGGTGGGTGGGTGGGATGGTTGCGCGAGCGGCGGAGTGGACAACTCATTGCGAACAGAAAGTACTTGCACCACGTAGATTGCACCACATGAAAGGCAAACACACACACATATTCTTCTGGGTCCATTGTGGCCCACAAATATGTTATACGTATTTTTCTCGTTGTTGTTTTTTCCTCTCTCTCTCTCTTTCTCTCTCTCTCTCTTTCTCTTTTTTTTCTTTCTCTCTCTCTCTCTCTCTCCTTCCGTTTCTCTGAGCAGAATATGTTGTACGCACGGTGGGCAATCCAGACGCTGACGGCCTGGCGAAGGATGCGGGCGGGTTCTGCAGATCCCTCGCGCTTGCCGGCCGCGATCCCGACACAGGCGTCCGAGATAATGCGGTGGTGCGGACATGTTGGGCGCAAGCGCGCCTGCAAGGCTTTTGTGGGTTCCATCCGTGCGCGCCCTGGGACGTTCGGCGCCGCAGAGACCAGGGCTTTCGACGGCGCTCTCCACCTGAGCGCCCACTGCTTGGTCACGATGTGGCGAGGTGGTGTTGGCGTCCTGAAAGTTTGCAGGATGCCATGCTCCGCCGAAGCCTCCTTGCTCCCGCTTGAGGATGGAGTCGGCGAGAGCGGAGGTTCGGATGATGGGGAAGGGCTCGCATGACACTCGCCCGCCGCGCTATTGTCCGTGGCTTTTCGCTTCCTTGCCCTTTCCCCACCCTTGTCGCTTTCCTCATCCTCATTCATCTCCATCCTCCTCTTCCTTCCCCTCTCTCTCCCCGTCTTTCATTGTCCTCGTCGCCTGTTTCCGTTCCTTCCCCTGACGTTTTTCCGCTCTTGCTTCATTTTACCGTTCTGCTCCTCCTCCCCCCCCTCTCCTTGCCTCCCTCCTTCCCTCCATCAACAACTCCTCTTCGTCTCTCGGATCGGCATGGGCAACACCTCCTATTTAGTCTGAGGGCCAGGTGCTGGCTGTCGTCGTGGTGAAGTGTCGGCCGAAAGTCCAGCCGTGCTAGTAGACTGCAGGATGATACCCAAGTCGCTGGGGAACCCGCTGGGACAACAGTGGGGGACGGGCAGTCTGGGGCCGTCCTGGTGCCGGTGTCGGGATCTTGTCTGGCCGTTTTGAGGCTTCCCGTGGCCCTCCTGGACCGTCGTGTGGTTCTTGTTTCAACCGCCTACGGGTTCCCCTGGGCCGTCTGAGGGCGCCGTCGCAGTCCGTCCCAGGGGCCTTGGGCAGTCTCGAGGTCCTTTCGGCGCCTTGTAGGACCGCTTGGGCCTCTTTGGGGGGGGGCCTCTTGTCAGCTGGCCCTCTTGCGCCGTCTTGGGGGCGCTCTTGGACACCTTCTGGGTCGCCTTTGGGTGATCTTGGGGGCCCCCCTGAGCCGTCGTAGACACTTCGTACGGCCCGGCAGGTGTGAGGGATCTTTAACGGTCCTTTCAGAGTGGCCAGCGGGTAGGGCCGACGGCCGCCGGGGGCGGAGGCCCCCAACACAAAAACAGGATTTGAGTTCTGGCACGCCGAGCATCGAAAAAGAAACAAACGACATAAACATACATGCTACTGGAGAAAAAAACAATGACACCAGAGAAAGCCCCAACCAGTGGATGGTCATGAAACACCAGAGAAACACCCATCTCACAATCGATCTCAATATCCAGATCACTAACATGGATATTGAGATCGATTGTGAGATCGATAGTGGAATCGATAGTGAGGACGATTGTATAGTCGATCGTGAGACCGATAGTGAAGTCGATTCAATGAGATCAAGTATGAAATCGATCGGGAGATCGCTCGTGCGATCTATAGTGAGCGAGATTGTGAGATCGATAATAAGATCGATAACGTGGTGGGTAATGAGATCGATGGTGGGACCGACCGATGAGAAGATCGACCAGGAAAACGGGAACCCGGGAACCCCACAACCCACCGAAATCGGCCTGGAACCCGGAATTGCAAACCCTGGAACCCGCAACCAGGAACCCGGGAACCCAGCGTGCGACCAAAATCGGCGGGACATTTTCGCCAAATCTTTCATTTTCCGCTAGGACCCCTTCAGTGCAAGCATTGATTGGGGAATCATAATCTTTTTAGGGCTATAGGGCTATGGGGCTATAGGGCTATAGGGCCATAGGGCTACAGGGCTATAGGGCTATATGGCTATGTGTCTATATGGCCATAGGGCTATAGGGCTATGAGGCTCTGGGGCTATAAGGCTGTAAGGCTATAGGGCCAGAGGGCTATAGGTCGATAGGGCTATGGGGCTATAGGGCTATAGGACCATAGGGCTTCAGGGCTATAGGCATATAGAGCTGTAGGGCTATAGGGCCATAGGGCGATTGAACTATAGGGCTATAGGGCTAGAAGGTTATGTGGTGATCGGGCTGTAGGGCTACAGGGCTATATGGCTATAGGGCTATAGTGGTATAGGTCTGCAGGGCTATGGGGCTACAGGGCTATACGGCTACAGGGCTATAGGACTATATGGCTATACGGCTATAGGGCTACAGGGCTATGGGGATATGGGGCTAGAGGGCTATAGGGCTGTAAGGCACCCGGGAACCCGGGCACTCTGGCACCTGGGCACCGGGGCACTTGGGCACTTGGACACCCAGGCACCCGGGCACCAGGGCACCTGGGCACCCGGGCACCCGGGCGGGCCGCGGAAATCGGTGACACACCTCACTTCATCATATGAATCCGCAAGGACCCCTACCGAGTCAGAGGCAAGCTCTGAGTGGAGAAACTTCTCGCGCTCCGCGCGGATTTCTTGGATCCGCGCTGGGCCCCCCCAGCGGCGCCTCCGGCGCCGCCCCTGGCTCGCTCGGCGCGCCAGGGAGCGGGGCCCAGCGCCCATCCAAGAAATGCGAGCGGAGCGGGCAAAGTTTGTGTTCATGTCGTGTTCTCTTCTTCTAAAACATCCCGTCCAGCAGGAGCAGGCAGGCGACCGGGGGCAACCAGATCTGGCGGCACTCTGCGGAGCGCGCCACCGTGCCCGGGTCGTGGGCCAGAGGCCTCTTAGGGGCCTCGCGGAGGGCCTTTTTGGGGAGCTCTTGAGGACGTCTTCGGGGCTTCCTTGGGGTTCTTCCTTTTGTGGGCCTCGTGGTGGAGGGTTTCTCTGAAGGGCTTATGCGACCCGTCCTCCTCCTATTCCTTCTCATCCTCCTCCTCCTCCTCCTCCTCCTCCTCCTTCCTTCTCCTCCCTCCTTCTCCTCCGCCTCCTCCTCCATCTCCTCAGCCTCACCATCCTCCACCTCCTCCTCCTCTTCCTCTGGTCGCCTACAGCCCCGGGGGAAACCGTGCACCTCGTGGGGGCTCCTTGGTGCTTCTCTGTTGGCATGTCTGGGGGGGGGGGCCCTCGCGGGCCTCCTGGAGACCTCTCGAGGAGCTCGTGCATCCCTCGCTCGTGCTCCTCGCTTCTGCTCCTCCGGCGGCCCTACTCGGGGGGGGGGGGGGTGCTGGAGCCTGCCGGGGGCGCTCGTGAAAGTCAGGGTCTCTCCAGGGGGCTTCACTTGGCTCTGAGTTCGAGGGCGGCCGGGGCCTCCTGCCACTGGCTGCGCTGCGTTGCTGCCTCTTGTTCCCGCGGGGACTGGTTGCGCCAATGCTGCTGATCCTGCGCACCCCCTGGGGCGTCGCGCTCGTCCAGGGACCCCGAGAGACGACGCCACGGAACACATGCAGCATCGGGATACTTCACGGCAGGAGCCCCAGCCCCCATCTGTCTGAAGTATTCTTCGAGCCCGACCGGCCTGTGCTGGCCCCAGGGCCCGAAACCAGGCGAACACGCTCGGCGCGACAAAAACTGCAACGCCCAGATTTCAGGGATCCTCTTACGCTCGTCTTGTTGGGGGCATCTGAGGAATTCGGCGCCTCCATGGAGATCGTTGGGTGCCTCGCGGGGGCTTCTTGGTGTCTCTCTGGGTGCCTTCCTGGGGGCCTCCCGAGGGCCGCCCGGAGGACTCTCGAGGAGCTCGTCCTCCTCTTGTCCTTCTTCCTCGCTTCTCCCTTTCCCCCCCCTCTACGGCGCCGCCCTCCTTAGGGGTACCATCCTCTTACGTTCGTCCTGTTCGGGGGCGGCGGGACCTGAGTACGAGCGCGATTGAGTCTGAGGATGAGTGAGTCAGCGAGGAAGGAGGAGGAGGAGGAGGTGGAGAAGGAGGAGGAGGAGTAATTTTTGAGGAGACGGAGGTGTTGGTGGTAGTCGGAGGTGTCAGTAATAACAAGAACCCCATCTTCGGATGTGTCGGGCGGGGCCAGGCGAGAATTTAATTGTTCCAAAGCGTTCCAAGACATTCTCAGAGCCCTGTCCTGGCCTCGTGTAAATATGGGGAAGAGTTGCAACGCCCGGATCTCAGTCCAGACCCCCGCCATCATGATTGTTTTGGCATCGACCCCTAGTGCTCTTGACCCATTCCCGGGGACCGGTTTCGAAGGTCCCGAGGCTCGGCAAGGGCCTTTCGAGGCCGAGAGTCGTCAGAAGCCCTGTGGGTTCATCTCTGGGGGCCGAACAACACTGGAACAAGCCCGACGGCTCGATTCTCTCATGAGCCGAGCGAGGTCTGGAATGGATCCTCTCAAATCTTACGCTGGCCCTGTGGGTGACGACTACGACGACGACGACGACGACGAGGACGACGCGAACGACGACGACGCGGAAAAGGACCACGACGACAAGGACGAGGACGACAAGGACGACGACGACGACGACGACGACGACGACGACGACGACGAGGACGACGACCGCGATGACCTGCGCCGGCGCGCGGCGTGGCGGGCAGATCTTCGCCGTGACCGGGTCGACCTTCCGGGCCCTGCTCGAGAACGAGGCCGCCGCCCCGGCCTCCGGGCGATCGGAGTGCCCAGGGGTCCTCGGGGGCGGCCAAGAGGGTGGTGTCGCAGGCCTAGAGATTGACACCAACACCAATATCGGCGGGGTGCATCCACCGAGGGAGGAAGATCCCGATCTCGGTGATGGTGGTAGTATTCTGGCTTCCAGGGTGGCCGAAATATTGCCACCAACACCGAAATCGAGGATCGTCTTCCCCCTGTGGAGGCAACCCCTTGTGTTGGTGTTGGTGCCCATTTCTAGGCCTCCAATGGTGATGACGGGGGGGGAGATATCCTTGGCATCGCTCGGACGTGAGCATGTTTTTCTCGGCGACGGCCATCGAGGACCACCCGCGATCAGTTGGCGGAAAAGAACACGCACGGAATCGAAAAATGCACGAGGAGTGGACGTCCGAGCGATGGCGAGTATCATGGCCGGGGCTAGGATATCTCCCCAGAGTTCATGGCGCCTCTTCCTGTCTCAATACGGCCCCGGCCCCACCCTGGGCCGCGCACATGCCGCTGCCTATGATTTGCGCCCCCCTCCCGAACGCCCCCGAGATCCGAGGCTCCAGAACACAGAACAGTTAGAGTCGACGATCCTCAGGACGTGTATTAGCCCAAGCGTGTGTGTTTATCTCGTTCGGTTCCGCCGATAGCGCGCAGCCCGTGTGGGCCCTCCTTGCGCCGCCTACGCTGTATCGAAGGGCCTCGGTGGACAAACGCACGTTGGCGCTAACACACGCTCTGTTAATCATCGACGGAGGCTCCGAGAAACATCGAAACATGTTGCCGATGCGTGGACGCTGGAGGTTTGGACGCGTTCCCCAGCCCCGTGGCCCGTTGAGGGCCCCAGGGGGCCGAAAACAACAACCGGCAGCTCTGATCTTTTCTGGAGCCTCGGATCTCTGGGCCCCTCGCTCTTTTTCAGGAGGGGGAAAAACACACAGACACAATTAATCGTTGATTCCCCAGAAAATATGGGAAAAGATGGGAAGTGGGGGGGGGAAGACAGAAACCCAGAAAATATAGGAAAATATTGGGAATCTTTTTATTTGTGTGTATCTATTTGTGTGTCCTGGGGCCCCCCTGATCTTTTGCTGCCCTGAGACTCCTGGAGGGGGGGGCCCTCGTCGCCGCGGCCGGAGCCGGGTCGGAGTTCATCGTCGGGGCGCCCTCCGGGAGAGGGCCGAGGAGACGGTGGTGTTTCCCTGGGAGGATCTGGACGCCCGAGATGGGCACGGAAAGAATGGGTACGATGCCTAACAGCAGTTCTTGCTCATTTTGAACAGGATTCGCTGTCCACGCCGCCGCGGCCTGTGTCCATTCGAGACAGAAGGCCGCCTGCCCAACAGCGGCCGCTGTTGGTTTGGGGCAACATTTGCTGTTGGGCATTGTACCCATTCTTTCGGTACCCATTTCGGGTGTCCGAAGAGGAAGGAGGAGGTGGGGTCCTGAGGGAGCGGCGCCCCCCAGAGATTTGAGCCTGTTTTTCTTTGGATCCAGGCAAGCTTACTTGCATGGCGTTCGCCCCCCCCCCCCCCCTCTCCCCCCTCGCCCCTCTTCAATCGAACACGAGCGTGCAAGTGCCTTTCGACTTGCGTGATTTCCGCACGTCGAATTGTTTTCGGCTTGCCTCAGACTCAGCCCCCCCCCCGTCCATGCAAGTAAACTTGCCCGAATCCAAAGAAAAACATGCACTTTCTTCCCTTGTGCCTTGTCCCAGAGATCAGATCCGATGTTCCGACAAAGTGGGGCGGCTGGTTTTTGAATGTTCTCGGCCTGGTGGGGCGGCCTCAAGGGGTCCGCCAGCCCCAGGGGCCCAGGGAAGCAGTCCATACATCCAGGGGTCCACGCATCGAACATGCGAAAGTACCAAGCCTTTGCTAACGAGTGGCCGCAACAAGGAGCACCGCTCCGAGCCATGCGGACGCAGCCTCTGGGGCCTTCGGTGGCGCTCCCTATGGGACCACCACACTTGCAAGGGGTCTGCCGAAATGGGGCGGGGCCGCATGCAGACGCAGCCGCAGGGGCCTTCGGCGGAGCTCCCTATGGGGCCACGAAACGTGTGAGGTATCGGACGAAATGGGGCGGGCCGCGTGCAGACGCAGCCATGAGGGCCTTCGGTGGAGCCCCTGCCGAAATGGGGCGGGGCCGCATGCGGGCGCAGACATTGGGGCCTTCGGTTGAGCCTCCGATGGGGCCACGACACATGCTGGGGGCGTGCCGAAATGCGAAGAGGGAAAACGATGATGGTGATGATGATGATGATGATGATGATGATGATGCTGATGCTGATGCTGATGCTGATGCTGATGCTGATGATGATGATGATGATGATGATGATGATGATGATGATGATAGTGATGATAGTGATGATGATGATGATGATGATGATGATGATGATGATGTTGATGATGATGATGATGATGATGATGATGATGATGATGATGCTGATGATGGTGATGATGATGATGATGATGATGAAATGGATGGAGGAGGGGGATCAGGAGAAGGAAAAGGAGGGGATGCACGGCGCTGCGGATTCGAAACGAGAACCCGACACACTGCAGGGCGGAGAAACAATTCTCAGGTGCCCAAACCAGTTTCCCTTGGAATTCTTTACGCTTCGCGTATCCCCACCAGCCCATCTCACAGCAGCAACTCTTGCGAAGCATGCCGACAGTCGTGTTTTTCAGGCGTGTGTCCGCTTGGCCCCGCATATCTCCCCTGTTCCTCCTTCCTCCCGCCTCCTTGTACATCCTCCTTGTGGGGGGAGCGGGAGAAGGACGAGGCGGAGGAGGAGGGAGAGAAAGCGCTCCTCGTGGTTTGAGTCGTTTGGGGTTTCTCGTCCTGGTGTGAGTCGTTCGGGCCCTTCTTCCTGGTGTGAGTCGTTCGGGCTCTTCGTGGTGTGAGTCGTTCGGGCTCTTCGTCCTGGTGTGAGTCGTTCGGGCTTCTCGTGGTGTGAGTTGTTCGGGCCCCTCGTCCTGGTGTGAGTCGTTCGGGCCCCTCCTCCTGGTGTGACTCGTTCGGGCTCCTCGTGGTGTGAGTCGTTCGGGGCCCGCGTCGTGGTGTGAGTCGTTCGGGCTCCTCGTGGTGTGAGTCGTTCGGGCGCCTCGTCCTGGTGTGAGTCGTTCGGGCCCCTCCTTGTGGTGTGAGTCGTTCGGGCTCTTCGTGGTGTGAGTCGTTCGGGCCCCTCGTCCTGGTGTGAGTCGTTCGGGCTCCTCGTGGGGCCTCTTGGGGGCCTCTTGGAGCCTCTTGGGGGCCTCTTGGGGGCCTCTTGGGGGCCTCTTGGGGGCCTCTTGGGGGCCTCTTGGGGCCTCTTGGGGCCTCTTGGGGGCCTCTTGGGGGCCTCTTGGGGGCCTCTTGGGGCCTCTTGGGGGCCTCTTGGGGGCCTCTTGGGGGCCTCTTGGGGGCCTCTTGGGGCCATCTTGGGGCCTCTTGCGACCTCCTCAGAAGCGCAAATGAGCGCTGCCCTTTGAGAAGGACAAAATGAGCCCAAAACCTTCGTTAAATCAATTATTTTGCTATGAAGGACGATGAGCGCTGCCCCCTCAGAAGCCCAAAATGGGCCCAAAACCCTAGTAAAATCAATGATTTGTGCTTCAAAGACGAGCTGAGGCACCAAACTCCCCCCCCCCCCCCCCTGGGGGCCAGAATCCTCGTGAGGGTCGTCGTTTTTTGGTCCTCCCAGACGTCGAAAAAGACCCCCCTGACGACCCGCGGAATTCCCTCTCCAGGTCCAGGGGGAGGGGGTAGGGGGAGGGGTAAACCCCTCCCCGAAGGGGAAGAAGGGGGGTTGAGGACAGAGAGAGCTCCCTAAACCACTCACGCCCAAAGGGCTGGTAGGATTCTTTGCTTCGTGGCAATGCCTTCTCCTCCTCCTCCTCCTCCTCATTTTGCTCCTCCTCCTCTTCCTGGTCTCGTTCTTTCTCCTTGCTCGTCCTCTTCCTCCTTTGCCTCCTCCTCCACCTCCTCCTCCACCTCCTCCCTCCCTCTTCCTCTACCCTCCTCATCCTCCCCTCTGCCTCCCTCCTCGGGTTTGAGGGGCTCGGCGAGAGGAGGAGAAAGACGATGATTAACGAGGAACGCCAGACCCCGAGCGACGCCTCTTCCCCCTCCCGTGATGCCTCCTCCCGCTTTCCTTCTCCGCGGCCGCCCTCTTCCTCCCCTTTACGTCTGTGTGTGTGCCCGTAGCCCCGGCACGGCCCGCTGGCTGCCCGAGCGCGTTGTGCGCTCGCCCTCGCCGCTGACCCAAAGGTGCTTCCCCTCTCGCGCTTGCGCTTCTGTCCGCGGTCCTGGGCCCTGCCGCGCTCGCTGGACCGGGCATCCTCAGCTGCGCGGCGCACCTCCGCCCCTGCGAGCGCATGCCTCTGCGGCTCCCGCTGCTGGGCTCTTGCCAGCGCCGCGGGTGCGTCCCGCTGCGCCGCCTCGCGCGGGGCTCCTCTCTCCGCCTGCCTGTCCTGCCGGGTCCCGGGACGAGCACGGATCGATCCATCAGGAGCGACAGAAGGACGTACACGTACATGAATCCACGCTGGTTTCGAGAGTACGCGTTGCGCAAATGTTCGTATAACGCGGCCGGTCTCGCGGATCGAAGGGCCGTGTTCATGTACATAGCTGGGCGCGTACGTCCTTTGTGGGCTCCCTAATCCAGTATTGGAGCACGCAGCCAAAAGGTTGGGCGCGAATGATCATGGGGGGCGATGAATCGGGGGGGAGAAGGCTGCCCTGTGCGGGCCCTGAAGGCTCCACTGGTGCCCTATGAGGGGCCCCTCCAGGGGCCCTGAACGGCCCCTTTCGGCCCCCTCATCGCCCCCCGTGGCGCGGCCTCCAAGCAAGGTGGGGTATGTGGCTCTTGTCGTGTTTGTTCGCGATGTTGCCAGATTTGCACAGGGTGTGATCTCAGGTGACACTCCTTTCCCCGCTTGCTTGAACTCATTCGTCTAGGACTGGAGGGCGCTCTCCCAGCGTCGCTCTTTTGATTTCTCTAGCCACGGGGTGCCCAGTCGCAGGAAAGCTCGGCTCTAGACGCTCACTTGAGATAATGTCGGAAGGTGCCACAGAGGAAAGTTGGAAACGAGGTGGGGCCATCGTTGTCTCGACGAGAATCGGATCGGCGAGTTTGTGCTCGGTCCTTCCCCTCGCTGGTACCTATCCAGCATCATGCCAGCATGCTCGCAGCTTTATCGTGAAAGCAGCTTGGCCCAACACATGATCACTTGAACATGACACTGCGTAATCGGCGCATTCGTACGTGGACAGCTCGACGCATATGTGTAGCACGACCGAGTGTCAAAGCTATGGGGACTTTTTTATATCCGACAAACGACGAGGAAGATCCACGCGGGACGCGCAACGAACTTTTTTCTGAACCGATCGGGAACATCGCCTGATCCAGGACAGTTGTGTGTCAGCTCGTTTGCATCGCGCCGCGTTGACGCGGCGATGATACAAGCGCGGGCGTTCAAGGCTGAAGGCACCCGATGGCTTGAACCAGGCATCTGTTTCACGATCTCCATTGTTATAATGCCTTGACATGCAACGCTCGACTTAGGTTGGACGATCCACGCTGGACCATTCACGCGGTGTCAGAAACTCACGCGCACGTCACTCTGATACGACCTTGTCGTAGGGGGCCGTCCGCATCTTTTTTGTTCACCGTATCCCCTTCACATGTGTACAATTCGTGGTGGCGGTTTCACTTTCTGCTAGTTCATGCCTGTACGTTTATGAGGGGCGTCCCCTGACCTCGCTGTCATGTCGTAGCCCAGGTTTCAGCTTGCGATGTTGGGAATATTATCGGTTTGTTTCCTTATCCCCTTTTCGCGTGATTGTGATGTTGCCATGGCTTCCAGATCAATACTTCTCAGCCTGTAGTTGATCCAGAGAGGTTGACGTCTCGAGATGCTCCAGGCGTGCGCATTTGGAAAGTGGCTGGGGGCAGCCTCCTGGCAGCTCTCCCTTTCCTGTTCTCTCGCGATTTCTGGGGGCAAGATCCGATTTTGCCATCGTCGGCGGCGGGCGCGGGGGGGAAATGAGAAGGGGCGGGACTTCCGAGGCTTCTGAGAAGTTTCTGGACTTCTGAGAGGGCTTCTGAGAAGTTCAGTCTGTACTCGAAATAGGCCAAGGAGACCTCTCAGAAGTCCCCCGGACTTCTAAGAAGTCCCGCGGCCTTCTGAGAAGGCCTTCTCCTTCTCATTTCCCCCCTGGGCTCGTCGCCTAATTTTGCCATCGCCACCGTGAGCCCCACTCGCCTGGCTGCAAGGACAGACTCAGCAACAAGTCCGGCGGCATCGACGGGGGCCAGCACTGCATCGTCACCTCCGGGACTCCCGGGGTGGGGGGGGAGTAGGAGGACGAGTAGGGGGAGGAGGAGGAGGAGGGGGAGGAGGAGGAGGAGGGGGAGGTGGGAGGAGGAGGAGGGAGGTGGAGGACGAGGACGAGGGAGGACGAGGAGGAGGAGGAGGAGGAGGAGGAGGAGGAGGAGGAAGAGGGGGAGGAGGAGGGGAGGAGGAGGAGGAGGAGGAGGAGGAGGAGGAGGAGGAGGAGGAGGAGGAGGAGGAGGAGGACGAGGAGGACGAGGAGGACGAGGTGGGGGGGAGGAGACCGAGGAGGAGGGGGATGTAGGAGGCGAAGGCGGAGGACGGGCGGGAGGTGGAGGACGGGCGGGAGGTGGAGGAGGAGGAGGAGGAGGAGGAGGAGGAGGAGGAGGAGTGGGAGGAGAGGGAGGAGGAGGAGAAGGAGGAGGAGGAGGAATATGAGGAGGAGGAGGAGGAGGAGGAGGAATCTGAGCAGGAGGAGGAGGAGGAGGAGGAGGAGGAGGAGGAGGAGGAGGTGTGAAGTGAGTGAGGCTTGTGGGATCCAGTGCGTCCGTCCGTGATAGCGACCGGGCCCTGGAGTTACCGAAAAGTGGCACCGTCGCCATCTGAGCTAAGGATTCTGAGGGGGCGGCACTCCGCCGACGTGTGCACCTGGCGCCTGTCGCGCGCCCCCTTGCCGGGGCACGGGCCCAGGCAGCAACCAGAGGGGCACGCAGGCCCCTATTGGGCGCCGCCCGCATGGCGGGAGCCCTGAGCACCGCCTCGTTTCGGATGATGGAGGGGACGGGAGCGAAGGCGAGGACGGGCAGGAGCAAGAGCGGCAACAGGAATCAACGGGAGGATATGGAAGCCTGCGTGGCGCGCTGCACCACATCTGCAGCAGCGTTGCCTATGTTCGTGAGGTCCGCGAGCCGCTCACTGCCACGAAGCAGTGTGCGGCGAGGAAGGCTCAGCTCTTGCTGCTCAGGCTGATGATCTCCCTCGCCAGCGGACCCCGCGGCGCGGGTCCCGCGAGACTCCGCCGATTGATTCTCCGTGGTCTTGTGGAGAAGCTCGTACAGGTCCTGCCCCACTTCGACCTGGTGTCCACCGCCCACTCGGAGTGTGCTGTGCCCACCTGGCCCTCCTTGACCTTGTGGACGCGCACGCGGAAGACACGGACGAGGAGGCCGAGCGCGCGGAGGGTGAGCCCCTCCACCACCGTGAGGGTCTTGACCACGCGGGCTTGGATGTTTTTTTTTGTTCGCCCTCCGTCTCCTCGATCAGCGCGACCTTTGTCACCAGGAACGATATGAACACGTGAAGGTGAGGGCCCCCGCGGCCCCTCCAGTCTTGAGCCTCGCTCTTGGTTTCGGCCTTCTGGCCAGAACGGACGGTGCCTCGACCAAGGCGCTGTCGGACGGCAGCTCGTCGCGCCCGCAGACCGTCGATTTGAGCTCCTCTGCGTCCCTCTCGAGCGTCACGATCAGCCTGCTCATGGCGCCCCCCGGCTTGGTGATGTCTTTGCCTCGGCTTGCGCCACCCTTGGGCCTGGCTTGGGGCTTGCCCTTGCTGTCCTGGCTGCCGCCCGCCTCGGCGACCGCCTCCTGAACATTGTCACCTTCGTCGATGCGGCGCTCCTTGTCCGTTTTGTACCACGCTGGAAGGGGTAAGCGGCGTGCTTGCCCCGACATTGACACGCACTCCCACAGCGCCAGAAGTGGATATGGAGACTGGTAAATGACACTGCGCCAAATCGCTGCATAGGCCGTCGAGGTCGGCTTGTTCGCTATGACATAATCAGCAAGTGAATGAATCTGGCGTGGGTGTTCTGCCTCCTCCCACTGGGCACGCTTTTCAGCATCGCCGTCTGCAGATGTCTCCCTGCGCACCAACAATCACGAAACACCGCGCGACAACATATGCACACGTTGGTCGGTGTCAATACCGTTGCAAAGTTACGTTGGCGATGTGCGAAACGACGATGGTTCAATGACTGCTTACGCGTGTGGAACTTACCATCACATTCTCTGAAGCGTTGCATACGAAGTTGACCCCCGCCAAGTGGGGGGGGGGGGCAAGTCTGGGCGGGGGCAAGAGGCACCCCCTACTTGCCCTTCCTGCCACCACGGGCCCGCATAGCCAGGAGGCGGGATCGACATCGAAAACACATTGGAGCTAACTTAGTCATGTCGGCCATCCGAAACTCCGCGGCCCTCTCTCTGTCGGCCAGAATCCTCAAATCCCGAGCGACCTCCTCGACGCATTGTTCATCAAGAAGTTGGGCCGCAGACTCCGAATCCTCTACCACCCGTCGGGCCCACGGAGAGGCCCATTGGGTCAACGCGCCAGCAGCGCGGCGGACGAACCGAATCAACCACCAATTGCCCGAAGAGCGCGATGAGAACCTGGGAGGCCCCTTGAAGATCTGAAGCTCAACTTTGACAATGCCGAAGAAGTCGGACGTGGAGTTCCACCTCGGAGCCCGCGAGTCCCCAAACATCGACAACCCGCCGCTCACTAAGACTACGGGCGCGCTCGCCCTACCAGTCCGCGCCCTTGCCCCGCGTGACAATGCGCGCCGAGCCCACCAGACGCCCGTCCATAACTTAACAATGCCGAGGGGATAACCGAAAGGCCTCCATGGCAGGCAGGAGAGCAGTCAGCGCCGGGCCCTGCATGAGCGATCTTTCATGCTTACGCACAGTGGGCAGCTAAAGTATACCTCCCAGGGAATAGCAAATAGAACGCTCGACGGGCAGCCGCGCGGCGCCCGTCGTCCTCGAGGCGCGCGCTATCTCGGAGAGCAAGGCGGGGGCCCGGGCACCCGGCGCCCTCTTCGGGGGGGGGGGGGGGGGGGCGAGAGGCCAGAGCGCCGTGGCGCCCGGAGAAGCTTGCGGAAGTAGCGCGCCCCTGCCCCCGAGAAGACAATCAACCATTGTGGTTAAGTCATGCGCTGGGCCAGGCCGAAGTGGGAGAGGGAGACAGTCGACGGGTCGTCGACCTCCGAAATCTGAGCGATGAATTCAACGAACATCAAACCCTCTCGCGCCACGATAATTACGCCCAGGTCGCCCGCGTATGTTTGATGCGACAAGTCGGTCTGGAGGTTTCCCGAGTCTCCTTCAGCGCTCCGGCCAATGGGTCAACTCCCAGAAAGTTCCGACTCGATATTAGAGGTTGTGAACAGGTTCGTAAGGCAGTTTCTGTTGCGGAAGGATCGCCCATGACGCTTCTTTTCTGCGCTTTTGCGATGACCTTGCCATCGCTGTCCTCGAGCACGACCGCTGATAAATGGTAGCGTTGTTTACGTGGATCCCTGTCTTCGGCTCGCGCGTGTAGTTCCACGCTGACGGCCGATAATATGTCAAGATCGGGCCCCCCCGCCGGCGACCTCGCGCGAAGCCGCGGTCGAACGAAGCGGCCTGGCCACCGACTCGGGACGCGAAGAGCACCTCCCCTGCAACTGGCGGCGCGCATGCCATCTGCGCCCGCGTTGCCCCTGCGACCGTTTTTTTATTGAGGGCAGCCAATTGGGAAAGATGCCAGCGAGGCGGCGACGCGCAGTTGCCCCTGACTTTCTCCAGGCCGATCTTTGAGATATCCCAAAACAGCTTGATGTATAAACGTTGCTCATCAGAGCTCACGCCGGCCCGACTACGAATGCGCCAACTAGGGTTGCGTAGCATGCGCCAAAGCACCAGGGGCATAGTCCCACTATGAACCGCCCTTCTCTTCGGTGCCCGCCTTGCGTGGCGACGCATGAACTTGGTATCGAGATCGACATGTTTCCGGATCTCACAGTCGCGGACTTCGGCGCACTCCCCCTCCTCCCGCGCATTCCCCCACAGCCCCCAGTCTAACGCGCTCGCCGAGATTCCCCCCTCCACGCCAGGGCCCCCCCGAAACTTGGAGCCATTCCACGCGCGTAGGGAGAGTCGCGACGATCGCTGCTCCGTCCCGTCGTTTCGGCCCGAAGCGAAAGCGACAACGCGCCGCGGCCCGGAGAGGACGCGCGCCTTCTGCACCCCGACCACGTCTGCGTCCGACGGGCCAGCGCGAGTGTCTCCGCGAGCTCCGTCGGTCGACCTGGCAGGCAATCTCTGGGGGGGCGCCCAGTTTCTCGCGGCAGAGGCTGGCCCGCCCGCGCGGGGGTTCACGACGGCGGCGGCCATCCTCTGAGCATGTAGGACACGGGGGGCGGGGGGCCTTAAAGCGTCGCTACATTGCTGTCGCGATCGCCGCTTCCAGCCTCTCGAATATGGGGAGAGGCGCGCGCCAACTAGCATCGCGCTGGATGGTGTTGAAATGCGCGTCCTGCTGATTCCATGACCTCCGCCCACCCCGCCCCCCATTTCGCTGCGCCCATCATTGTGCTTGTATCCCGCGACAGTGAAGGAGCAACCTGCGGAACCGCCCCCCTTCCCCCCCCCCCCCCCCGCCCTTCCAGCGCGGCATTTCGAAGTCAAGAAGAAGGTTGTCTTTAGGTGGTGGCCCAGTATAGGCCCGCAGCTCGGCGCCGGATTCCTCGGCGGGCGGCGCTTTTTTACTTCGTGGGCTACGCCGGCAGGAAAATCGCAACATTCGATCCGCGTGCCGTCGCCCACCTCCCATTAACGAAAAAAAGCGGGGACGGTGTCGTCAGTGAACGTGTCCCCCGTCGCGAGATGGTGGATCTCAAGGTGCCCCCGAAAAAGTTGCCCCGCGCCCTGTCGAAGTTCCCCCCGAGTGGGACTTCCAATCGAATCGGGCGAAAGAGAGCCCCATCTTTCAGGCCCCTTCACGCCCCCCATCCCATCGTTCGCATCTGATAGCAAAAGAGGCGTGCAGCGGCAGGGGAGACTGGGCAAGATCGCCCCGACCCAGTCCTAGAGCAGGCGGGCGGCCCGCAAATGCCTCGAGCAATCGGCTCGGGAAGGTCGAGGAGGGTAGCGCGCGACAGTGAGGCGCAAATCCATTGGGCCATTCTTGCATCGCGCAGCAACTCCTTTCCCTCCTGCCCCAGCTGGGCCCGGAAACGCTCGCTCCAGGTTAGGGTGCCTGGCGGCAGGGCAATGGAACGTCCGCAAGTGCGGTTTGAGAACGGCTCCCGAGTAGCGGCAGTTTCCAATGCAAGTCTGCCCGCGCAGCGATGTCTTACAACCTCTTGCTCTGAATCACGACCGACACTCTGCGCTTCCGCCAGCAAAATGAAGTGGCAGTTCCCCGCCTCCCCCGCGATCTCATCAAGGCGCAGGTCAGTAGCTGCGCAATTTGGTGCAGCAGTTCGGCCAACACCTCTTGAAACCCTCCTCAGGAGTGTATTTGCAAGGTTTTTTTTGTTTTGTGAAGGTCCTTCAACAAAAACTTTCCTGGGGAAGGTTTTTGGAAGGTTTTAGGAAGGGCCTTCCAACAAAAACCTTCCCGGGGGAGGTTTTCGCAAAGGTTTAGGCAGGTTTTTCTAATCAGAAAGCCCCGATGACGGTGGTTTGGAAGGTTTTACCCAGGTTCCCCCCAGAAAACCTTCCCGAGGGAGGTTGTTGAAAGGTTCCAGGAAGGTTCTTCAACAAAGACTGCATTGAAACAGGTTTTTGGAAAGTTCGAAGAAGGTTCTCCCCCAAAAACCTTCTCGACAAAGATTTGTTGGGGGGTGTAGGGAGGTTTTTCCCACCAAAAAACCCTCCCGATGAAGGTTTTTTGAAAAGGTTGTTCGATGGTGTTGTCCCCAAAAACCTTCCTGGGGAATTTTATTTGAAGGTTTCAAAACAGCTATTCCAGCAAAGTCCTTTGAGGAAGGCTTCAAGGTTCTAGAAAGGTTATTCTAAACACGCCCTCCTGATGAATCTTTCGGTTCTTCCAACAAACCCTCCCGGGAAAGTATTTTTATTGCGAGGTTTTAGGAAGGTTCGTCAACACAAATTGCACGGAGGAAGGTTTAGGGAAGTTCTTCAAACAAGCAAAAAATGTGATGAAGGTTCTGTTCAGTTTTAGCTGGGTTCTTCCTGAAAGCCGGCCCCGAGAAAGGTTTCAATATGGTTATTCGGAAGGCTCTTCCAAAAAACCTTCCTGAGGAATGTTTCTGGAAGGTTTCAGGGAGGTTCTTCAAACAAACCTTCCCGAGGAAAGTTCCGGAAGGTGTCAGGAAGGTTCTCCCAAAAAGCCGGAACCTGGGCCATGGCCGAAACCGGCTTCGGCCGGGGGCGCGGCCGGAACCCTGCGCCGGGGCTGGGGCCAGACCCGCGGCCGTGAGCCAGGGGCCGGGGTTGGGGCCAGAGGCCACTGCTGTGGGGCCGGGGCCGGGGCCGGGGCCGAGGCCAGGGCTGGGGCCAGGGCCGGGGCCGAGACCAGGGCTGGGGCGTGGGCCGCGGCCGGGGCCGGGCGGCGAGGCCGGGCCGCAACCAAAGCCTATGGTCACGCGCGGAAGTGTCGGGCGTAGCCATAACGGGAAATATATGGTTACGATCGACCCCATCGCACACTTGAGCTAACAAAACGCACTGAACACCTCCGTAGTCAAAATCATCCCGGGGAGGTCTTTGCGTAACCCAATTGTAACCACATGTATAATTTTCGTAACTGAATCATAACCAAACAACGTAGATCGTAACCAAATCGTAACCCAATCGAGCCGAACATGTTTGACATTCCCGTTTGGGCTCAAGAAGGGGGTGGTGGAGCAAGGCGGCGAGAATGACAGCGAACATGAGCACGCGGAGAAAGAACGACCGAAGAAGGGAGCGGGAGAAGAAGCAAGACCTATGGAAAACGAGGCGTCTTGGGAGACGATAAGGAAAAGCGAGCGACTAGGAGTTCAGATTGATGATGAGGAGGAGACAGAGCGTTACCAGGTGGAGCAGGACTAGGAGGAGGAATATGACTCGGAGTGGGAAGAAGAACAGAGCACACGCAAACACGAGGAGGATTGAGAAGGGAGTGATGATGAGGAGGAGGCGGAGAAGGAGGAGGAGAGGGGCAGGGGGAAAAGGAGGGGGAGAGGGAGGAGGAGAAAGAGGAATAGGAGGAGGCATGGGCGGAAGCACGGCGAGAGCGCGAGGGCCGAGAAATAGTATTGACACATTGATCATTTGGCGCCAAGGTTCAAGGTTAGAGCCAGGAGGGTTGGAAGGAGGATTTGAAGGAGGCCCAAGTGGACAAGGACACGGATGAGGTTCGTAGGACATATCATAGGAGTGAGAGGGTCAGAGAAAGCGTTGAGGGAAGAGAGAGCTTGAAGAGGGAGACTCTGAACTAGAAGGAGGTGTGGGGAGAAGTGGCTTGAATTCTAAACGCTTCGCGTAAACCCACCAGCCTATGCAGACACGATGCCCACAGGAGTAGACTCGATCAGGAAAGTGGCCAGCACACAGAGGAAGGGCGTTGAATTCCGTCGAAACGGGTTTTCGCTGTTTTTTTTCGAAATGTTGCTCTCGCTGATGCCTTGGTTTCATGTTCGGCCTACCGCTCGTTCCGAATCGTGCTCCCGCTGCAGCGCTGGACTCTTTTCCGCGCTTCCGCTAGTTCCGAATCTCGCTCCCGCTGCAAATCTGGCGTCATTATTTCCAGCGCCATGCCACGGCATAGTTTTCGATCCTTCCAAATAGGCCCCAACATTTAAAACATGCCCACCCGAACAAAAAAACATCGGAAGTGATTCCACATTCGGTGCTGATTCGTTGGTTTTCTGGGCCGCAGAAGCCCCCACCCGCTTTGGGGCGTCGCCATGCCGTGCTATGTCAGGCTACGCGTCCTCAGTTTCCAGTTCGTTCGTTCCGAATCGTGTGGGCTACAGTTCGTGGGCTACAGTTGAAGTGTGGGCTACAGTTCGTTCGTTCCGAATCGAAATGTTGAAGAGTGGGCTACAGTTCGTTCGTTCCGAATCGTGCTCCCGCTGCAGCACTGGCCTCATTTCCGCGCTTCCGCTCGTTCCGAATCGTGCTCCTGCTGCAGCGCCAGCGTCATTATGTCCAGTGCCATGCCACCGCATTGTTTTCGGTCCTTCCCCAAAATCTAAAAAATGGCCTCCCGCAAAACCATCGGAGGTGATTACACATTCGGTGCCGATTGTTTGATTTGTTGGGCCGTAGAAGCCCTCCCTCTCATTTTGGGGCGTCGCCACGCCATGCTATGTCATGCTACGCGATAATATCCAGCACCATGCTATGCCATGTAATGCTATGCCATGCTGCGACATCCGATCGTGCGAGTAGGGAGGATATCTGCACCATGTGAAGGGACGGGAGGGACGTCAGACATGACGCGAGCGCACCTAGCTTGCCACTCGCCCCTCCCTTCTCCTCCTCTCCCCCAGGGGCTGGCACCTGGATCAGTACTGCATCAGCTTCACCAATCGCGAGCTCGTGGCAGAGTGAGGGCGGCCCTGCCGTCACTCGCACTGGGTATGTTGGCCGCGTGTATCCCCCTCCTCCTCCTCCTCCTCCTCCTCCTCCTCCTCCTCCTGTGTCTCTCTGGTTTTCTCGCCCCATTCCTCGCCATCCTTCTGCTGTTCCATCCCTCTTCCTTGTTCCCCATGCAGTACTTGCACCTGGGGCCTCTCACTTCTGTTCTGAAGAAGTGGGCCCTTCTGTCAGTATGGCGGGTATGTAGCCGCCGTCGCCGCCCCGTCGCCGCCCGTCGTCCGGGCCTGTCTGTCGGTCTGGCGGCTATGTAGCCGCCGCCGCGCGCCATCGACTCCTCGTCGCCGACCGTCGACTAGGCCTGTCTGTCGGTCTGACGGCTAGTATGAGGGTCTACCCCCCCCGGATAGAATCGCCCTCTTCTTAAGCATTGCAATGTACATTTGATTCTGCCCCATCGTCCATCCTAAGTGTGAATCATACAATCCCAGGCAGGCCGCTAACACTTTCCCCCTTTATTATTTGCCAATTTGTTTTGCGCGCGCAATCGTCTATCCGAAATCCAAAGTTATGAGATTTCAAGAACCCCTGGCAACAAAACGGTACGCAGTGTACACGCGCGCGTCGTCGCGCGCGGATGCCGAATTTGTTCAACACTTGTAGGTTTCGTGAGGATTTCAAAGGCGAATGTCCCGAAAACATCAAAACACATTGGTTTCGCATCAAGACTGTTCAAGAAAAGCTTGCGTTCGGGCTTTTCTGCGGATTCTTAAAAGAAGCCATCTGTTGTTCATTGTTTCTCCCAACCCTCCTTGGTTGGGTATTCGTTTTGAATCGAGGGGTGTGGTCGCGTCCTCCTCCCGCCCCCCCCCTGTGGTCGCCGTCCCTGGGGGGCTGCGATCTGCGAAATTGTCGCCACTTTCGAGGGCTGCTGGTGGGTCCTGCGGAGTGAGGCACCGCGCGGATCTGAGCAAGACCTCGCCGTGCCCGGGGGGCTGCGATCTGCGAAACTGTCGCCACTTTCGAGGGCTGCTGGTGGGTCCTGCGGAGTGAGGCAGCGCGCGGATCTGAGCAATACCTCGCCGTGCCTGGGGGGCTGCGATCTGCGAAACTGTCGCCACTTTCGAGGGCTGCTGGTGGGTCCTGCGGACTGAGGCACCGCGCGGATCTGAGCAAGACCTCGCCGTGCCTGGGGGGCTACGATCTGCGAAATTGTCGCCACTTTCGAGGGCTGCTGGTGGGTCCTGCGGGGTGAGGCACCGCGCGGATCTGAGCAAGGCCTCGCCGTGCATGGTGGGCTGCGATCTGCGAAACTGTCGCCACTTTCGAGGGCTGCTGTGGGTCCTGCGGACTGAGGCACCGCGCGGATCTGAGCAAGGCCTCGCCGTGCCTGGGGGGGGATCTGCGAAACTGTCGCCACTTTCGAGGGCTGCTGGTGGGTCCTGCGGGGTGGGGCACCGCGCGGATCTGAGCAAGGCATCGCCGTGCTTGGGGGCCGCGATCTGCGAAATTGTCGCCACTTTCGAGGGCTGCTGGTGGGTCCTGCGGGGTGAGGCACCGCGCGGATCTGAGCAAGGCCTCGCCGTGCCTGGGGGGCTGCGATCTGCGAAGCTGTCGCCACTTTCGAGGGCTGCTGGTGGGTCCTGCGGGGTGAGGCACCGCGCGGATCTGAGCAAGACCTCGCCGTGCCTGGGGGGCTGCGATCTGCGAAACTGTCGCCACTTTCGAGGGCTGCTGGTGGGTCCTGCGGGGTGAGGCACCGCGCGGATCTGAGCAAGACCTCGCCGTGCCTGGGGGGCTGCGATCTGCGAAACTGTCGCCACTTTCGAGGGCTGCTGGTGGGTCCTGCGGAGTGAGGCACTGCGGATCTGAGCAAGGCCTCGCCGTGCCTGGGGGGCTGCGATCTGCGAAACTGTCGCCATTTTCGAGGGCTGCTGGTGGGTCCTGCGGAGTGAGGCACCGCGCGGATCTGAGCAAGACCTCGCCGTGCCTGGGGGGTCTGCGATCTGCGAAGCTGTCGCCACTTTCGAGGGCTGCTTGTGGGTCCTGCGGAGTGAGGCACCGCGCGGATCTGAGCAAGGCCTCGCCGTGCCTGGAGTGGGGGGGCTGCGATCTGCGAAGCTGTCGCCACCACTTTCGAGGGCTGCTTGGGGGGGCAGCGTAGGGATCTGCGGAACTGTCGCCACTTTCGAAGGCTGCTTGCTGGTCCAGCGGAGTGAGGCATTTCGTAGATCTGAGCAACGCCTCGCCGTGCCTGGGGGGCTGCGATCTGCGAAACCGTTGCCACTTTCGAGGGCTGCTGGTGGGTCCAGCGGAGTGAGGCACCGCGCAGATCTGAGCGGGACCTTGCCGTCCCTGAGGGGCTGCGATCTGCGAAGCTGTCGCCAGTTTCGAGGGCTGCAGGTGGACCCTGCGGAGTGAGGCACCGCGCAGATCTGAGCCGGACCTCGCCGTGCCTGGGGGGCTACGATTTGCGAAATTGTTGCCATTTTCTAGGGCTGCCTGTGGGTCCAACGGAGTGAGGCACCGCGCAGATCTGAGCGGGGCCTCGCCGTGCCTGGGGGGCTGCGATCTGCGAAGCTGTCGCCACTTTCGAAGGCTGGTGGCAGGCTCAGCGGAGCGAGGCACCAGGCAGATCTGAGCGAGACATCGCAATCCTTGGGGGGCTGCGAGCCTCACGAATGCCGCTCGCAGAAGTATATGCGCCCATGTCACGTCATCACCTTCGTATAACATCTCCCAAGCTACTCATGCCCCACATTGCGCAGGTGTTGGGTACGTCGCCAGGGTAATTTGTCTTTAATAACTTGCTACCAAACGGACGTCTCGCGCGCGCATGCCAGAACCGCTCGAACGCCCTTGCGCGCGTGTTGCCGCAATAATCTCTTGCAGAACATGGGGCGACGTGCGCGCGCGCGTGGTCGCGCGCGCGCGCGTGCCGAAATCCTTCAAACAACCGTAGGTTTCGCCAGGACTTCAAAGTCAAGTGCCCCCAAACTATTTGAAACACATGGTTTTGCAACATCAGTTGTCAAGAAAGCCTGCGCGCGCGCTCGTGCGAGGCATAACAAAACCGTAGGTGTTTCAACAGTGGCCCTTCTCGTCGCATGTCGAACTCGTCCGGGCGCCCTTACGCGCGTGCTGGGGGGGGGAACGATCCGTGTGAAGTAATTTCTGCGGGCCGCTCGCGCGCGTCGGCCGCGCGCGCATGCCGATTTCCTTCCAAATCCTCCATCACCGACGCGAGGACATCGTCATCGTCATCGCTATCAGCGGGCGTGATCAACATCGGCGCCGTCAGCGGCCCTGCCGTCCTCATCGCCTCCATCGTCACCATCATCGCTATTTGCATCATCGTGTCTACCGTTGTCGGCGTCGCCATGATACCGCGCCCGCCCAAGTCACCGACTCGCATTCAAGTGCCCGCTGGAAGTGCCCAACGGTCAGCGTCACCGCGGCCCGCGACGGTCGCGCCGCACTAGCTGGTCGCTGCGCGCGCGAGCGAGCGCGAGCTGGTACGGCCGCAGAGATGCACCAGCAAACGCCCAGCACTCACCACAATCTCCGCCGCATGGGTTTTGCGACCTAAGTTGTGGGCGTGCTGGCGGGATGTTTGCACAACTTGTGGATTTGACAACTCACTGCTAGCATTGGTGAATTGCACAACATAGACTGCACTGCATCATCGATCGCGCAGCAAAAGGTGCGTAACGCAGAATGCACCTCGTATATTGCCCAGCGTAGATCGGACAGCATCTATTGCACAGCGCTGATGGCACAACCTAGTTCGCATCACATAGATTACACCGCGCAGACGGCATCCCATGTATAGCAACATAACGGGTGCAGTACGTACATGTCCCCACATCCAGTGAACATCATTTAGTGCACATCATAGACTGCATCGCCTACACACAGGTTGTATCACATCTGATGAATCACGTATATTGCTCCACGCGGCCGCACAGTTTGCCCCACATAGATCGCACATCACATATTTGACACCGTATTGCACGACGGACATCGAGGCGCATCTATTGCACGACATCGAACGCACAACACAGTTCACACCACATTGGCACCACATAGATTGCACCTAACGGCTTGCATTACGTATAGTTTTACACATCGATTGCACACCATCTATTGTCAGGAGCACAATGTTACGGGGCCACGTTGGCGAACGTGGATTATTTTAATGGCCTCCGGCCAGTGTCGCCGATCCAGGGGGCTCCGGATTCGGCGTCTTCGCGGTTCTGTAGCCTCCTCCCACGTCGATTCTTCCGGTCCTGTTTATTCTCCCTAGTTTTCGTTATCCTCTGCCTCCCGGTGACCCTTTTTCTCCGCGTGCTCGCTCCCCTCTCCGTCCTCGTTCGTCCTCCGGGGGGGTGCCTGGAGCGGTCCTAGGGGGGTCCGAGGAAGGTTCCGAAGGGAGGGTTTTGGGGGCGGTAGCGGCTAGATCTGGGGGGGGTCCTTGGGACCCCCCGAAAATTTTGGGGATGCGCAAATCATCCAGAAAACGCCAGATGGGGGACCGCCCCCCCGCCTCCCCCCCTTCCCCGGATGCGCAACTCATTAAGAAAACGCCAGATGGGGGATTGCCCCCCTTTCCCCTCCTTCCACGGCGGAGCCACCCTGGCGACCCCCCCCAAGCAGAGCTGAAGCTCTCGCTCAGGCTCAGATATGAAGCTCCTGCTGAGGCTCCTTGTAGTTCACGCCGGATCGGCAGATTCCGCTTCTTCCGCCGCGCAGCTGTACGTGTCATTCGGGCGGGTCCGACCTTTTTTTCGAAGACGTTTTCACGCGTTATAATCTCGCAACTTAAGAATGACAGCGGCTACTGGAGCACATGTAGCTTTTTCCCTACCCGACAGGTTGGGCGTGCTAGGTTTTAAGAACAGACCTCCCGACCCGCCCTCCTGTACGATGCGGCTGCCAGATCCCCAGGTCCACCTTGAGTCCCCCGTGTGGTTCGCCCCGCGGGGCTTCGACGAGCAGAACACAACAGAGCATACCAGAACACACCACCGCATAACATGGCACAGCATATCGAATCATATCATAACACATCGTGATGGTCACTTTCAGAACATATCACACAAGTGTATCATAGAGCGGAGCATACCAAACGATACCCCAATTCCATAACATTTTCCAGTGCAGCAGGGCATACAAACAACACATCATAACACATGGACGGGCTGTTGCATAACACCCCAGGGCATTTCAGGGCGTTGAAGAGAGCACATCATGTCATAGCATTACATACCATAACAACCATTTTGTGCTATAGCGAACTTGCACATCTTGTACCAAGACGGAGCATACCACGTTCACGCGTTCATGTTCGATTTTGTTGCCTTTTTGAAAACGATTTTGAAAGATCATGGAACAACATATTTGCACAGGAATTTCACTACCTGACCTCGCGTAACATATCATTACACAGTCAGCAATAATCGTTCACAATCATAGGATACCAGAAGAGAGAGAGAGAGAGAGAGAGAGAGAGAGACAACATCTCCACCCTTGTAGTTGCCTTCAAAATTTGCCAGGGGAGTCTCGACTGGACGATCACATAGAGAACAACCACCCCAAAACCATAAGTTTTAACGCATATAACATAACATGTAGTATACTGCAATCGCGTGGAGCTCCGGATAACATTGTCGCATGGGGCGAGCCCTAGCTGACCAAATATGAGCGCCGAAAGACCGCCAGGGGTTCGCAATGACTTGTCTTGAAGAGCCGGTGGGTGTTCGGCTTGCTGTGGCCGGCACTCCTCGAGGTCCCCTTGGGTTCCCCCATCTTTTCTCTTGCAGGGGCGCCCAGTTGTTCCCGGGGTTCCCCAGTCTCGTTCTTTGCTCGGTTCCCCAAGCGTACCTCGGGCTCTTTGCTTCGGTCCCTAATTGGGTTCCCCAAGTTTGCCTCCAGGGGTTCTGTGGTCACGTTTTCTGTCTTGGGTCCCTCAAGCCGTTCCAAGCAGAGCATGCCAAGGGGCCTAGAAATGCCAAGCGAAGCCTTGCGATGCCAAGCAACGCCAGGCAATACAAGAAGCATGCCAAGCAATGCCAGGCAATGGACAGCAATTTGAAGGAATGCCCGATGACGCCGCATAATGTTAACGCCAAGCAACGCCAGGCAGTGCCAGGCAATGCCAAGCAATGTCAAGCAACGCCACGCAAGGCGAAGGAATGCCACGCAACGCCGTGCAATGCAAAGGAACGCCACGCAACACCAATCTACGCTACTCAATGCTGAGCCGTGCAAAGCAATGCCCAGCACTGCGCCAATGCGATTAATTCGAATAAGTCTCAGCATTTGGGGTCGCGCAGAGTTTATGGGACTCTAGGTTGAGATGTGGTCGAGTATACCAACGATGAGAAAGTATCCGTCCCCCTCTTAGCCCCTTCTATGTAATCATCCCTGGGCTGTATACAGCTTCAAACTGCCACAACAGGCGACGGGCGAACTTCGTTGAGACCCCAAAGTTCGCATCGTAGCCGTAGCTCTGATCTTCACACCATGCATAGCACCATGAGTCACCCGGATAATCTTTGCTGCGAGGAGTCTCAAGCGAAACGCCCATTTTCAAAGATTCGCCGAGTTCGCGATCATCAGTTGTTCGAGGATACTTCAGCTTGGGAAAACGCTTGTTTTGTAGAAATCATTGTCGCCGACAAGAACTGCCTGCTTCTCCTTCCTGCCCTCCTCCTCCTGACACTCCTGGCCATGCTCCTCGCCATCTCTCTTCCTACTCCTTCTTCTTTTCTTCCTTCACGTCTCCTTCTCTTCTCGCCTCTGTCTTCCGTTCCTCATCCTTCCTTCCTCCGTCCCCGGCCCGAACGTATTAGCCCAGGCGTTCATTATGCCCGAGTATAGAATTTAATAGGTACGAAATGTTGCAATGTTTCGGACATCCTCCTTCTGCTTCTCTCTCTTCCAAGGAGGCCCCCCAGGGCCCCAGAAGGATCCAATGCACCATTTCACATGTGTGTTTCACGAGATACGTATTCATTTGACATCCCCAAAGAGGCGCCCAGAAAAGGACCACTGCACCCGTTCACCATCGTGTTTCATAGGAGTTGTTTTGTTCTCACATCTCCTGGGAGGCCCTCAATCGGGGGCGGCAAAGAGGGGGGTGATGACTTGGGGGGGGGGTTATCATGGCCTGGGCCATGATATTTCCCCCGATCTCATTGCGCCTCCTTCCATTTCATTACGTCCCTGGCCCCCCCTTGGGCCGCGCACGTGCCGCCAGCCATGATTTGCACCCTCCCCTCTTGGACGCCCCCCTCTTGGCCGCCCCCGACTCAAGAAGGATCATGGGGCTCCAGACCGACCTAGACATCCTAACATCGATACGCCCTGGAAAACTAGTATCCTTCATCGGCCCCGGACTTTTCTCGCGGGCGAAGGGTTGACCTAGAATTTGCGCAACGTTTCCACAGACGGAGGGTGCATCATGTCCATAACTTGCTAACCGTTTCAAATTGCCCTGGATACATTACCCTGTCTCTGTGCACATCTTCTAGCTGCGCCCGTGTGTACGCGTAGCGGACGACTTGTGTGCACCGTACAGCGTTGGCGTCCCCAGAGGCGTCGTCGATCTTCGACCCAGGAGCGGTACGGTGCATAGTTGACCGCCACATCAGAGCCGAAGAACTATGCACCGTACCGTGTTGATGTTGGGCCTGAGTTGGGTCCAAACATAGTACGGGACATTGGCGCCGTTCTCGTATCTTGCTCGCCGAACCTCACAAGAGTGCGAATCGGCGCCGTTCTCGCACTCTTGCTCGCCGAGCCTCACAAGAGCGCGGACTGGCGACAGCTCGGGCCCATGCTTCCAGGAACGGTGTGTTACAGCCGAGCTGCCCTCTTCTTGCCCACTCGGACCGGGCCACTGACCGTGGATGCTAAGAGCACTGCATTCTAGCTCTTGGCGGCGCGCACAAGGGGGTAAGGGGAGGGGGGAAGGCTTCTCAGAAGGAGGCTGCTTCTCAGAAGGCGCCAGCGCCTTCTAAGAAGCAGGGGTGCTTCTATCTAGGATCTAGGCCTCCCGGATGGGGTCCGAGTAGATGGGGTCGGAGGATGGCGCCGCATCGCCGACCCATCGGCGCTGCGGCTCGATGTGGAGCCCGATTTTCTCCACGCCCACATCGCCGATGCATCGCCGACGTCGCGAGGATGCATCGCCGATGCATCGGCGATGTGGCGCCATCCTCCGACCCCATCTACTCGGACCCCGTCTAGGAGACCTCTATTCTACGACGCCTTCCCCCCTCCCTCTGCCCCCCTCTACGCGCCGCCAAGTGCTGCTCGAAGGATGGAAGGCGGGACTTCTGTACCAAACGGGGGGGCCTCGTCCTCGATGGCAGGCCCGTCATCTGAGGTGTTTTTTGTTGTGCTTTGTGTGTGTGTGCTTTGTGTGTGCTTTGTGTGTGTGTTTTTGTTGTGCTTTGTGTGTGCGTGCTTCCTGCCGTGGAGAAGAGCCGACGGAGCCGACACGTGCACCGGGGGCCCCTCCTGCGGCTCCCCTGACGGGCCCCGGCCCACCCACGCCGCTCCTGAGGGGCCGGCCTGCCGGCGAACACGCGTGTCTCGTCTTGACCTCCTACTGCGGAGAAGAGCTGACGGAGCCGACACGTTCGATGCTCGTTTCGGGGACCTTCCTGGAGCCCACCTAAAGGATCTGTTCGACCCCAGTTCGACTCAAGTTCGACTCAAGTTCGACTCAGGTTCGACTCAGGTTCGACTCAGGTTCGACTCAGGTTCGACTCAGGGTCGACCCAAATCGACTGACGTTCGACGCAGCTTCGACGCACGAGTGGAGCGAGTGGCTCCAGGAAGGTCCCCAGAACGAGCATCCAAGACACGTGCACGGATTTAGTCAGGAGCGAAGGAAGGACGTACACGTACATGAATCCGCGCGGATTTCGAGAGCACGCAGTGCGCGAATTTGCGTATCACGCGGCCGGCCTCGCGGATCGAGGGGCCTTGTTCGTGCACATAGTTTGACGCGTACGTCCTTCTTCTGTGGGTTCCCTAGATTTGTGGGGGGACCTGTCAGCGATTACAAAAGGTATGGTTACTCCGGGGTGTGGTTTGCGATTGGCGCCTATGGGGCCTCGGGGGATCGACACCGGCCTCTTCGGGCCTCCTCGGGGCGCGGAGAAGACTCCTGTCGAGGTCCTCGCCCGCCTCCCGGGGTGCCCCCCCCGGGTGCCCGCTGCAGACCACACCCTCTGCAAACCACACCCTTCGGAGTCACCTGGGGCGACAGGGCCCCCTGCGTCGTCGATGCCTCTCGGGTTGGCTCCAGCCCCGTCCCATCCCCCGCACCCTCCACGTGTTTCGGGCCGGGCGAAAGGGGGGGATTGGGAAAGGAGGGGTTACGAAATTTGCTGCATGCAGCTGGTTTCGGCTTCACCGAGGGGCCCATTCCTCGATACATAGCCGTCTCCGGCGCCGGGAGGCGCCGGGAAAATCAGCTACGTGAGCTGATTCTCAAACCCCCCCTTTGCTATCCCCCCCTTTCGCCCGACCCGAGTGTTCCTCGTCGTCGTCCTCAGCCTCACCATCCTCGCCCCTCGTCCCAGATGTTTCGGCCCGATGCGTGGGCTCCCGAGACGGGACGGCCCTCGGACTGCTCTTCGGTCGCTGGGCGCGCGATCGCTCGGCTCATCTCCTTCGGTTGGCGGAGAGAGGCCGGGTGGCTGCGCCGACCGAGCCGGGAGGGGCCAGGTCCGGTCAGGGCCAGGGGGGAGGAGGCCCAGGAGCCTGTTTTTCTTTCGATCCAGGCAGGCTTAATTACTTGCATGGCGTTCGCCCCCCCCCCCCCCTCTCCCCCCTCGCCCCTCTTCAATCGAGCACGAGCGTGCAAGTGCCCTTCGACTTGCGTGATCTCCGCACGTCGAATCGTTTTCGGCTTGCTTCAGACTCAGCCCCCCCCCCGCCCATGCAAGTAAACTTGCCCGAATCCAAAGAAAAACAGGCTCCAAGGCCAGGGGGGAGGAGGCCCAGGGGAGGGAAGGATGCCGGCACCGTCATCTTAGCCTCGCTCTCGTTGTCAGCACGGCCTCCTCTGGGAGACCCCTGGTCGCCAGGGCTGCATTCGCCTCGAAAAGTTCTAGGCAGAGCGCACCCCAGGAGAGATCAAGGGAGCAGCGGTGTCAGTATCGTTCTGATCGCCAGAGGAGGTGAGGACAAGGGGGCTTCGGAGAGTGAGAGAGGCGAAGGGGGAAGGAGGAGGAGGAGGAGGAGGAGGAGACTCGGCAGCAGCAGGAGGAGGACGACATGCAATTTCAGGGGCATCAGGGGGAGAGAAGAGAAGAGGAGGAGGTGGACGACGAGGACGGGGGCGAGGATGGGGAGCGGACAATGACGAGGAGGGAGTACGTGGAGAATGAGGGGAGGACAGACAGGCGATCTTGCTGACACGCGCTGGGCCCCGCAACCCAGTCGGCCACTCTTAGTCTTTTCATTCGGCCAGTCTCGCTGGGATCAGGCCTTCCTGATGGGCCTCATGGCGCCAGATTCGTGCAGCAATATTTTTTGAAACGCAATATTTTTTGAAACGCAATTGGTTTTGTGTTACATGGCGCGATGCTTGAAAGCAGTCTACAACCTGTTTGGGGAGTCGCGACGTTTAGCAGCGTTGTGCCTTGCAAGCAATGGTCTAGAGAAGAGTTGATGACCAGGCCGAGCTAGCTCCAAGGGAGCCATGCGTGTCCCCCCCCGCCCCCCTCGGAGGCCCAGTCTCAGTCCAGTTGTTCCCGGCCGCGCATGAATGAGACAAGGGACGCAGGGATCGATTCCTGTAGGGGGCCCGGGAATTCTAGCCCCAGAGCTCTTCCCCTCTGCACGGGTATCTTGCATTGTGGAATGGCGGTTTGCCGTGAAATTCCTCGCACATGTTTGTTCAGAAGTGATGAGTTTGCTATGCGGTTGGCATTTCGATGTTCCTCTTCTTCTTAGTATTATTCTTCACCGCATTATCAGTATTATCATTTTATTAGTCGGGTGTCCTCCTTATCTTTATGTTGATTCATATTGCTCTTATTCTTCTTCTTCTGAGAGTGGGAGAGAAAGATATTGCCATGGCAGCACCTGGACAGGAGTCGGCTTGGTGGGCCGAAAACCCCCAAGACAAGAGACTTCGGATCCTCTTCCCTCCGTCCCCTCCTCCTCCTCCTACTTCTCCTCCTCCTCCTTATCATCATCATCCTCTACTTCTCAATCCTTGTCTGTCTCCTCCTTCTCCCTCTCGGCCACTTCAGACTGCTTCCGTTTTGGTGACCAGGTAATTGAGGGTCGGGGTGTCCAGCGGCCTCAGCCAGGGGGATCAGGCTGGGTCGCCGTCTGAAAGTGGATATGATATTAGCCGTGCCACATCGTCTCCGCGCGAGCTTCGCCGCCACCTCTTACGTCGGCCGACAAACAGCGCGCCAGGGGAGGCGCCGCCAAGCGGCCCGAAATCCGGTGGGGTGGGGGGGCAGGCGGGGCTCACGGCGGCGTGGATGGGCCCGTCTGGGCCCTTTTCACCGCTCCCCCCGCTGCTCCTCATACGTCTAATGCTCCTCATCCTCGCCTCCCTCTCCTCCGCCTGCGCCTCCTCCGCCGCCTCGTCGGGGCTGGGCGGGCTGGGGCGCCTGTGTGCTGGACCGCCCTCGCTCCACGAGGACGTCGGCGGTGAAGGCTGGCACGAGCGCGTGGACCTTTTGGCGACCCTTCTGGGGACAATCGCGTCGCTGCGCAAAGTCGACGCCGCCGCCGCGTGGCGGGTTCCGGAAGCCCTGGATCCAGAACCAATTGTCGGGGGCGGAAAAGAGGGGGGTGATGACTAGGGGGGGTGGATATCATAGCGTGGGCCATGATATTTCCACAGATTTCGTGGCGCCTCTTCTTGTTTTATTACGTCCCAGGCCCCCCCGCTGGGCCGCGCACATGCCGCCGGTCATGATTTGCACCCCCCCCCTCTTGGACACCCCCCTCTTAGCCGCTCCCGAAATTGGGCGTCGCGTAATAGTGGGTAATCCGCGGTGGGGCAGCGAGGGCTGCAGAAAAGGGGCCATCGGGGGCCCCTACAGGGGCGGGGTCCTTTAGGACCCAAAGGAGTCCTTTCGGGCCTGCGAAGTGCACCTTCGTCCCCGCTCCTATTTTTATCGCCCCCCCTATGCGACGCCCAAAACAAGTTGAACCCTTTCGAGGGGGGGCATCCTTGACTTCCCCTGGCCTTCCACTGGCGGAGGCGCCTTCGCTTTATCTCGGCCGGGCTTCCGCCGCCTCCAAGGCGAGGCCTTTCTTTGGCACGCCGCAGTTGTTGCCAGTTGTGTGGACATTGACGGCCTCGCGGCCTGTCAGCTCTGCAGTCGTGCTCGCGTCCGCCAGCGCTGCGAATAGAAGATTATACTGCCGGCCAGCTTGTAACAGCCGGCCACTCTATGGGCGGCCAAGTCGTCTCGGGGAATGCCAGGTCGTTGCCTGCAGGGGCGCGGCCACACTTCACCGCCCACCAAATTACCCCAACCCAACCCGAAGGCACCGACTTGCCCTCCAATTCCATTGGGGGGTGTCGGGGAACCTTGCAAAAACACATGTGGAACCCGTACCCCCCCCAACCCGAAATCCGGGTCTTCGGGTTCGGTTGGGGTGGTCTGGTGGGTAGTCGATTGCCTGCATGGGCGCGGCCACGCCGCGAGCGGCTTCCGCCAGGAAAGCCGGCGATCGAACGGCGTGGGCACTGACAGCCACGACGCGAGATGCTTCGGCGGGCTTGGCGAGGGTCGGGGCCGCAGCGGCGCGGAGATGGCAGGCTACTGATTCAAATATCGACGCCCTCCAGCAGTAGCACGGGCCAGGGCTGGACCTAAACGCTGTTTCGCTGGACTTCGGCTGCGTTTTGTTCTTCGTGTTGGCAGGGAGTACAGGAAAACAGGTCGAGCACAAGGAACACGAGACGAAGACAAGACGAAACACAACGTGTAGGTCCAGCCCTGGCACGGGCAGGTCTCAAGCACCGCCGGTTCGCGTGGGCATGTGTTTCTATCCTCGCGACGGCCGTTCGCGGCTTGAGTTCCTGGGGTGTTGCCGGCACGGCCCTGCCCCTGCCCCGCTTCGGACCTGCCTCGCTGGGCATCCTCTCTGTGCTTTCACTGGCCTGGCGGTGACCCATTGCGCTCCCGGCCTCGCGCCCCCGCGCGAGGCGCGCCCCCGTTGGGTGCATGTTCGGGGCATCGAAGGGACCAGGTCGGGGCCAAGAGCATGTCCGATATGACATGTTCTGTCTGTCGACCCCCCAGTGGCACACGGCGGCCCCAAGACGGCGCACAGATTTGTTTCAACACCTGCCGCCTCGAGAACCGGCCAGCAAATAATACACCTGATTTGGTGGCGTTTCTGCGAAGCCCCATGGGACACACCAGGGTCTGGAGGGGGAGGAACACAATGCATTTCGACTCTCATTCGGCGGACCCAGCTGGCAGCTGCAGGCAGGCCAATTGGGCTCGCAGGAATGCGCGATGGTGAAGGCAGACCTAACAATAGCGTTCGGCGTTTATTTGTTCGAGAGAACAGAATAAGATTATACAACACGCTCTCGCAAGCACGCGCGAACAAACAACAAACAACAAAACACCGGCGCGTTTTGCCCAGGGGAGCGCCAGCCTTCTTCCACGCTCTCAGCGAGAGAAATACGTACATTGGACGCCAAGTCTAGCAGCTCCTGTAGTGTGCTGAGAGAATCGAGGGAATAGTACTCTCATCGCCAACCTACGTCTTCCACCAGTCGCAATCACGACACATCACCACTTCTCCCGGCATGAGTTTGCATTGCGAGCGCAGAACGTGTCGTCGTCCCAAGTACGTCAATTAGGGTGCAGATGCCGCGTGCGCAATTTCGTGCAGCATTGAGTCGTGCGCGTGCACCCTTTTCGTCCTCATGATGCTCGTTCTCCTTATTCTTCTTCGTCGTCCTTCGATGCCCCCTCATCCAAAATGATTACGTTCCTCTTCCTCCGTTTTAGTAGTAGTGGTGGTAGTGGTAGTGGTAGTGGTAGTGGTAGTGGTAGTGGTGGTGGTAGTGGTAGTGGTAGTGGCAGTAGTAGTACTAGTAGTAGTAGTAGTAGTAGTAGTAGTAGTAGTCGTAGTAGTAGTAGTAGTAGTAGTAGTAGTAGTAGTAGTAGTGGTAGCAGTAGCAGTAGTAGTAGTCGTAGTCGTAGTAGTAGTAGTAGCAGTAGTAGTAATAGTAGTAGTAGTAGTAGTAGTAGTAGTAGTAGTAGTAGTGGTAGTAGCAGTAGTAGTAGATGTAGTTGTAGTAGTAATAGTTGTAGCAACACTAGTAGCAGTAGTAGTAGTAGTAGTAGCAGTAGTAGTAGTAGTAGTAGTAATAGTAGTATTATTACGATTTCTAGCACTAGTCAGTAGTAGCGTAGTAGTAGTAGTAGTAGTAGTAGTAGTAGTAGTCAGTAGTAGTAGTAGTAGTAGTAGTAGTAGTAGTAGTAGTAGTAGTAGTAGTAGTAGTAGTAGTAGTAGTAGTAGTAGTCTAGTAGTACTAGTACGTAGTAGTAGTAGTAGTAGTAGTAGTAGTAGTAGTAGTAGTAGTAGTAGTAGCGGTAGTAGCGGTAGTAGTAGCAATAGTAGTATTAGTAGTACTAGTAGTAGTATTACTACTAGTAGTAGTAAACGTAGACGTAGAAAAAAGTAGTAGTAGTAGTTGTAGCAGTAGTAGTAGTAGTAGTAGTTGTCGTAGTAGCCGTCGTACTTGTAGTAGTAGTAGTAGTAGTAGTAGTGGTCGTAGTAGTAGTGGTAGTAGCAGTAGTAGTAGGAAGAGTAGTAGTAGTAGTAGTAGTAGTAGTAGTAATAGTAGTAGTAGTCGTAGTAGTAGTCGTAGTAGTAGTCGTAGTAGTAGCCGTAGTAGTAGTAGTAGTAGTAGTAGTAGTAGTCGTCGTCGTAGTACTAGTAGTACTAGTAGTCCCAAGTAGTAGCAGTAGTAGTAGTAGTAGTAGTAGTCGTAGTAGTGGTAGTAGCAGTAGTAGCAGTAGTAGTAGTAGTACTCATATTGGTAGTAGCGGTAGGACCAGAAGGAGTAACAGCATCAGTAGTAGCTGTAGAAGTAACAGTTACAGTCGCAATCGCAGTGGCAGTAGCAGAAGCAGAAGCATAATCAGAAGTAGTATCAGTAGTCGTAGGAGTAGTAGCAGTAGTAGTAGTAGTAGGAGGAGGAGGAGGAGGTGTAGGAGTAGTAGTAGTAGTAGTGGTAGTAGTAGCAGTAGTAGTAGTAGTAGCAGTAGTAGTAGTAGTAGTAATAGTATCAGTAGCAGTCGTAGTTGAAGCAGTAGTGCTAGTAGTAGTAATAGTAGTAGTGGTAGTAGTAGTAGTAGTAGTAGTAGTAGTAGTAGTAGTAGTAGTAGAAGTAGTAGTAGTAGCACAAGTAGTAACAGCAGTAGTCGTACCAGTAGTAGTAATAATGGTTGTTGATGTACTAGTCGTAGTCGCAGCCGCGCCGAAGTTGTAGAGGAACATTAAGTAGGAGGAGCAGTGGTGGTAGCAGCCGTAGGCGTAGTATTCGCAGTAGTCTTAGTCGTAGTAGTCGTAGTAACGGTTGTCGCAGTCGGAGTAGTGGCGGTGGTGATGTAGTAGTAGTCGTCGTCGTCGTCTTGGTCGGAATAGTAGTACTAGTAGTGGCAGTAGTCGTAGCAGTAGCAGTAGTAGTAGTAGTAGTAGTAGTAGTAGTAGTAGTAGAAGTAGTAGTAGTAGTAGTAGTACTAGCAGTAGCAGTAGTAGTAGCAGTAGTAATAGATGTACCGCCAGTAGTTTTGAGAGTAGCAGAGACCACAGAAGTAGCAGTCGCTCTAGCAGTGGTAACACTAGTAGTAGTAGTAGTAGGAGTAGCAGTCGTAGTAGTAGCAGTAGTAGTAGTAGTCGTTGTAGTTGTGGCAGTAGGAGTTGTAGTAGTAGTTGTAGTAGTAGTGGTAGTCGTCGAAGTAGTAGTAGTAGCAGTAGTAGCAGTAGTAGTAGCAGTAGTAGTAGTAGTGGTAGTAGTGGTAGTGGTCGTAGTAGTAGTAATCCTAGCCGTTGTCGTAGAAGCAGTCGTAGGCGTAGTCGTCGCCGTTCTAGTGGTAGTGGTAGTAGTAGTAGCAGTAGTAGTAGTAGTAGTAGTAGTGTTAGTAGTAGTGTAGTAGTAGTCGAAGTCGAAGTCGAAGTCGTAGTAGTAGTAGTAGTAGTCGTAGTAGTAGTAGGAGTAGTAGTAGAAGTAGTAGTAGAAGTAGTAGTAGCAGTAGTAGTAGTAGCAGTCGTAGTTGTAGCACTAGACGTAGTAGTCGTCGCATTCGTAGTCGTAGCCGCAGTAGTAGTCGTAGTGTTAGAATTGGTTAGTCGTAGTAGTAGTGGTATCAGTCGTAGCCGTAGTAGTAGTAGTAGTAGTAGTAGTAGAAGAAGAAGTCGTAGTAGTAGTACTACTAGTCGTCGTAGTTGCAGTAGTGGTAGTAGTCGTAGTAGTAGCAGCAGTAGTAGTATGAGTCGTACTAGTAGCAGAGTGGTAGTAATAGTGCCAATAGTAGTAGTAGTAGTAGTAGAAAAATGATGTAGTTGTAGTAGTAGTGGTAGTAGTGGTAATCGTCGTCGTCGTAGTAGTCGCAGGTAGTGGTAGTTGCAGTAGTGGTAGTGGTAGTGGTAGTGGTAGTGGTAGTGGTAGTAGTAGTCGTAGTAGTAGTAGTAGTAGTAGTAGTAGTAGTAGTAGTAGTAGTGGCCGTAGTAGTGGTAGTAGTAGTGGTAGTAGCAGTAGTGTAGTTGTAGTAGTAGTGGTAGTAGCAGTAGTGTAGTTGTAGTAGTAGTAGTCGTAGTAATAATAATAATAATAATAATGGTAGTAGTGGTAGTCGCAGTAGTGTAGTTGTAGTAGTAGTGGTAGTCGTAGTGGTAGTAGTAGTAGTGACAGTAGTAGTAGTAGTAGTAGTAGTAGTAGTAGTTGTAGTGGTAGTAGCAGTAGTAGTAGTAGTGATACTAGTCGTAGAAGCAGTAGTAGTAGTAGTAGCAGTAGTAGTAGCAGCAGCAGTACTAGTAGTAGTACTCGTGGTAGTAGAAGAAGTAGTAGTCATAGTAGTAGTAGTAGTAGTAGTAGTAGTAGTAGTAGTAGTAGTAGTAGTGATAGTAGTAGTAGTAGTAGTAGTCGTCGAAGTAGTAATAGTAGTAGTCGTAGCAGTAACATTAGTAATCGTAGTCGTAGTAGTAGTAGTAATAGTAGTAGTAGTAGTAGTCGTAGTAGCAGTAGTAGTAGTAGTAGTAGTAGTAGCAGCAGTAGTAGTAGTAGTAGTAGTAGATGTACCACTAGTAGTTTTGAGAGTAGCAGAGGTCATAGAAGTAGCAGTCGCATTAGTAGTAGTAGTAGTAGTAGCAGCAGTAGTAGT